AGAGTTTTTGTCATAAATGGATGTTGAATTTTGAAAAATCTTTTCTGTATCTCTTGAGATGATTATATGACTTCTATTTTTCACTTTGTTATTGTGGTGTATCGTACTGACTTGCAAATATTGAACTATTCTTGTGTCCCTGGGATAAATTCCACTTGATCATGATATATGCTCCTTTTGATCTATTTTTGGATGCAGTTTGCTATTTTATTAATGATTTTAGCATCAGTGACATTAGTATATAGTTTTTTCTTTTTTGTGATATTTTTGTCTAGTGATGCTAGATTTGTGGAATGAGTTTGGGAGCTTTCCTTCCTCTAAATTTTTTAAAATAATTTGAAAAGGATAGATATTAACTCTTCTCAAAATCATTGGTAGAATTCACCTGTGAAGCTATTTGGTCCTTGACTTGAGTTTTGTTTTGTTACTGATTCAGTTTCTTTACTGGTAATTAGTCTGTTCATATTAGTATTTCTTCCTGGTTGAGAGATTATACATTTCTCAGAATTTGTCCATTTCTTCTAGCTTTTCCATCTTATTGGCATATAGTTGTTCAGAGCGATTTTTTATTGTCCTTTGTATTTCAGTGGTGTTGGTTGTAACCTCTCCTTTTCCATTTCTGATTTTATTGATTTAGACTCCTCTTCCCTTTTTTTGTGATGAGTATGGCCAAAGGTTTATCAATTTTATTTATCTTTTCAAAGAACCAGCTGTGATTTCATTGATTTTTCTATTATTTTATATTGTTTGTCTTTATTTCATTTATTTCTTCTCTGATCTTTATGGTTTATTTTTTTTTCTAGTAATTTTGGATTCTGGTCATTTTTCTTTTTTCAGTTCCTTTAGATATAAGGTTAGATTGGTTATTTGAGATTTTTCTGGTTTCCTGAAGTAGTCTTGCATATCACTATAAACTTCACTCTTAGAACTGCTTTTGCTTCATCCCATAGGTTTTTGAATTACTGTGTTTTCATTTTTTTCCATTTAATTTTTGATTTATTCTCAGATTTATTCAGGGATTCATTGGTTGTTTAGTAGCATATTGTTTAGCCTCCATGTGTTTGTAGGGTTTTTTTGAATTTTTTTCTTGCAGTTGATTGCTAATCTTAGACTATTCTTGTCAGAAAAGATGACTGATATAATTTCAGTCTTCTTAAAATTGAGACTTGTTTTGTGGCCTAGAATGTGATTTATCCTGGAGAATGTTTCATGTGCACTTGAAAATAATATACATTCCTTTGTTTTTGACTGAAGTGTTGATATATTTAACTCATCTGATCTAATATGTTACTTAAGGCCTCATTGATGTTCTGTGTGAATGATCTGCCCGTTGATGTATGTGGGATGGCAATGTCCCTCTACTATTATTGTGTTGGTTACGATTCTTCACTGTCTGTTAACACTTGTTTTATGTATAGAAGTGTTACTGTGTTGAGTTCATATATATTTACAATTGTTATATCTTTTTAGATTGAGCCCTTGGTCATTAAGTAATGATCTTTGTCTCTTGTTTGCAGTTTTAAAATCTATTGTGTATAAAAAATTATTGCTACTCCAGCTTTCCTTTTTGTTAATTTAAGTGTAGTTGATTTACAATATTTTATTAGTTTCAGGTGTAATACGTTAAAAGTGAAAGTGAAGTTGCTCAGCCGTGTCCGACTCTTTGCAACCCCATGGACTGTAGCCCACCAGGCTCCTCCATCCATGGGATTCTCCAGGCAAGAATACTGGAGTGGATTGCCATTTCTTTCTCCAGGGGATCTTCCCACCCCAGGGATCAAATCCATGTCTCCCACGTTGCAGGCAGATGCTTTAACCTCTGAACCACCAGGGAAGCCCAGTGATTCAGTATTTTTGCAGATGATTTTCTCTTCAAAGTTATCACAAAATAATGGCTATATTTCCCTGTACTGTACACTACATTCATGTTGCTTTTCTATTTTACCCATAGTGATTTATATCTCTTGCAACTGGCCAGCAGAGCCAGGTCCTGGGGTCTCTAGGTGCAGAGCCCAGGGGTTCCAGAGCTGCTTTGGGACCACTGGTAGAAGAACCCGATTCCTGACATAGCTAGCTGCAGAGTCTGTGGTGTTCTGAAGCTTGTTTCAGCCTAGTGATGAGTGGTGTCAGGTCCCAGGACAGCTGGCTGAATGGCCCAAGGTGTCTCAAAGCTCATGTTGGTCATCTGTTGAGTGGAGTTGAATCCCAGGGTGTCCTGTAACTGGTGCCTGCCTACTGGTAGGGGAGACTGGCACTGAATCTAGAGCAGGCTGGATGGTAGGCCCAGGCCATAGGTCTCTGGCTACAGGGGCCTGGACATCCCAGGTCCAGTGTGTGCACACTAGTGTGTGAACTGAATCCTCAGTCCCCTGGTCGGCAGAGATGTATCCAGGGGCATCTGTGGGCTCAGGTTAAGACCAGGGAGTCTTATTTTCCTTCCCCATCACCTGTCCCTCTCTACTCTGCCTTTTGACTTTAGTTCCTCACTGCTTCTCTCTTTGGTTCTATAAAAGAACCTGGCATTCAGACCCTAACAGATGGTTATTGTGCGACATTAGTCTGCCGTCTTCTCAGACAGTTTTCTGAATCCAGTCTTATCCTTGGCTTGACAACAACAACAATAAAACCCAGGGAGTCTTAAGGCAGTCTGCTTCCTTATGAGCTCTGTCCTCACCCAATTAGTTGTTTGTTCTAAGACATCCCAGCACTGGCATCTACAGGTTGTCGAGTTAGTGCAGTCTGGGTTCTAGGGCTGATAAGCCAGAGAGGATTCCAGAGCTTTACTTGTCAGCCCCAGTGTCCACACGGTAGAATGAGCTGCCCATCATGGCTGCTGCCAGCGTCTGTGTCCCCAGGGTGAGGTCTGCCTGCCTCCTTATTCTCTGAGAGACTCCCCAAGATCAGCAGGTGGGTCTGCTTCAGGCTCCTTTCAAATTACTGCTTCTATCCTGGGTGCTAGATCATGTGAGTCTTTGTGGGTGCCCTTTAAGTGCAGAGTCTATTTCCCACAGCCCTGTGGGTCTCCTGAAAGTGATCCCACTAGCCTTCAAAGCCAAATATTTTAGGGGCTCATCTTTCAGGTGCAGGATCCCAGGGCTTGGATCCCTTGCCTCTTGGGAGAACTTCTGCAATTGTAACTATTCTCCCCTTTGTGGGTTGCCCACCTCGGGTATAAGATTTGACTGTACATCATCTCCCTTCTCCATTCCACCTACCTGTCATTGTGATTCTCTCTTTATATCTCTAGTTGTAGAAGAGCCCTTCTGTTAGTTTTCATTGGTAGGTGTTCTATAAATAGTTGTGATTCTGGTGTATCTAGGAAAGCAAGTAAGTTCAAGGTCTTCCTGCTTCACCATCTTGGCCCAGGAAGTGCTTGCTTTTCTTTTCTTGCAGATAAAAACAATAATGTTTATTGTCTTAAAAAACAAAGAGTAGCAGAATATATAAAGAAGAGAATAAAAATCACCCTAGTGGCACAAAGCAGAGATAACTATTAATATTACTGCTACTGCTACTATTACTGCTTTACACACAGAGAGTAATGTGTGATGCACTTAGGGATGAATGGGTTCTTTCTATACACAGCATATTCTCCTATTTTAAAACACTTTACAAATTATACTCATGATACATGTTTATTTTAAGAATTGAAAAACATCGAATATACTGAAGAAAATAAAATTGTCCATAGTCATAGAATGCATAGATTATTTACTTTTATTTTTCTGATTTGTTTTCTTTCATTAGTTCTTCTGAGACTCAGGTAGATTTAGACACAGGTAGACAGGTGGATGATTAGGTAGACAGACTTATATTTTTTTTTGTTTTAATTATGCCATGGATATGCAGCATGCATGCTCATCCACTCAGTTGTGTCTGACTCTCTGTGACCCCGTGGACTGTAGCCTGCCAGGCTCCTCTGTCCATGGGATTTTCCAGGCAAAAACACTGGAAAGTGAAGTCGCTCAGTCGTGTCCGACTCTTTGCAACCCCATGGACTAATGTAGCCTACCAGGCTCCTCCGTCCATGGGATTCCCCAGGCAAGAATACTGGAGTGGGTTGCCATTTCCTTCTCCAGGGTATCTTCCCAACCCACAGATCAAACCCAGGTCTCCCGCATTGTAAGCAGATGCTTTAACCTAGTGGGTTGCTATTTCCTCCAACAGGCAATATTCCCAACCTAGAGATTAAACCCACATCTCTTGCATCTGCTGCATTGGCAGGCAAATTCTTTACCACTGTGCCACCTGGAAAGCCCACCATAGATATGCAGGGTATACCAATAAAAGCATACACCTTTCAGACAGTAATCAAACAAAAATACAGGCAACTATGAGATGTGTCATCAACAATTTATTAGTGGCCCTTATGAACACTTGTAGCTTTACAGTAATAAAAACAGGTATTCATTCACTAAATTTGTTAAACAATTGTATCTTTTTATATCATGAGAGCTTTCCTATAGTATAAACTAAAATTCATAAACATGATTGTAATGGTTGGAGCATATTCCGTTATATCTCTATGCTGTAATTTAGCCAGTTCCCTATTACTGGACATTTAGAATGTTTCTCTTTTTACTACTATGAATAGCACTACGCTGTACATCTTAGTGCTAAAACTATTCATCTCTGTTTATTTTCTTGGGATTCATTCTTAGCAGTGAAATCACTGGTCCCAGTGAAATGAACATATTTAAGACCCTTATTATATATTACCAAATTGCCCTCCAGAAAGTTCTTTGTTGCTTGTAGGAAAAAAATAAAATAATCCTTGTTCTATTTATACACTTTAATCATTTTTATACAGCTTTTCTTTGAACCTTTAAACTTCTTTTTGGTTTTAGGACTCAGAATTGTTTTTTAATAAATGTTTCTTTCAAGGGATTAGCAAAGTAATCATGTTGTTATAAATACCCAAACAATGTAACTCTTTTATTTTCTCTTAGTAAAGATCTGCAGATATAACATTTTTCACTGTATAAATTGTTTCTTTCTAGGGTGAACCAGGAGAGAAAGGAGATCCAGGTTTGTCAGGCGTTAATGGACAAGATGTAAGCCTTTCTTTTTTCTAACATAGTGTTTACATTTGGCCACTGAAATATGGTTATTGTCTAATGCTACTGAGACTTGACTATGCTTGGAAGAACTAGCTACAATTACTCAATTACTGCGAAGTAAGAATCAAGGTAGTTGTTTTGTGTGTGTGTGTGGCTCAGTAGAGGCCTAGTTTTTTTGTTTTTGTTTCTGTTTTGAAGGCCACTGACTTTATTGGTTTAAAAAGCTTTACAAGGACATTGACTCTTCTGCCAAAAAGCGGGCAAATAGCATAAAACAGACCAGGGAATGGGGGGAGGATCGTGTGATTGTTGGTCAATTTCTGGTGCTAAAGAAAATTGAAGACCTTTTCCGGGAATGACTGAAGGACACTGCTTGCCAGTGCCAAGCAGGCCCAATATTTCTACTGTCGAAACTACCAGGTAGTTCCCTGGTTTTATATACCTCCTATTATACTCATTCTTCACGGTCCTTTCTGCCTTGATATTCTGGCTTCCAGTTCTTCTCTCTTCCTTTCTGGGTCTTTTTACTTTTTACATATATGCTGCTGTGACCTGTGTTATGAGCCAGGCTTACCCCCAGTCTCGATCTGCTGAGGGGTCTGCCGAAGTCGTATCTCAGGGATGAAAAGGAAAAGGGAGGGGACCCTGTATATCTGTGTCACTCCCCCTCCATTGCACCTGTTCCCCAAGCTCAGGGCTCCTGTCCCAGGTAACGTCAAGTCCTCCCTCCTGCCCCCTCCCCCAAGGCAATTATCCCCCCAGAACTTTACTTGTGTTCTTACAATGGAATTTGGAGGGTAGATAAAATCTGGGTTTTCCTCTAAATGTAGATTACTCTCCTTTCAGGCCATAAGATTCACCATTTACAGTAGATATACTCCTTATTAAGGCAAGTGTCCACAAGGAGAATTATTTTTTCCCATGGTTTCCCTCCTTCACCTCATAAAAAATGTTTTAAGAAGGTTCTGAAGGGTCATACTACTTACTTTTTGGACAGAGGAATAAGGAATAAGCTAGATCGGGTTCCCTAATGCCCAGATGTTGTAAAATCCATCTGGTCTGCAGCACAGTGGGAAGGGAGGCTGAACACTGTAGTCCTGGGGCTTGTGAACAAAGTAAGACCTGGCGGGTTTGTTGTTGGGTTCCTAATTCGTGTCTGTTCTTTGCGACCCTATGGCCTGCAGCAGGCCGGGCTTCCCTGTCCTTCACTGTCTCCCAGAGTTCACTCAAGTTCATGTCTTGAACAAGTCAGTGATGCCATCCAACCATCTCATCCTCTGTCGTCCCCTTCTCCTTTGGCCTTCAGTCTTTCCCAGCATCAGGGTCTTTTCCAATGAGTCAACTCTTCACATCAGGTGGCCCTAATTGGAGCTTCAGCTTCAGCACCAGTCCTTCCACTGAATATTCAAGGTTAATTTTCTTTAAGATTGACTGGTTAAATCTCCTGCTGTCAAGGGACTCTCAAGAGTCTTCTCCAGCACCAGAATTCAAAAGCATCAATTCTTCAGTGCTCAGCCTTTTTTATGGTACAGCTCTCACACATCCATACATGACTCCTGGAAATACCATGCCTTTGACTATAAAGACCTTTGTCAGCAAAGTGATGTCTCTGCTTTTTAATACTCTGTCTCGATTTATCATAGTTTTCCTTCCCCTGGAGGGGGAGGGGTCCAAAGAGAAGTATCCCAGAAGCTAACCCTACTAATTCACCCAAGCTTGAGGCTCTAGCCCCCACAGCTTTCTTCTCTTACTTCCTAAGAAGCCCTATTTGCACCTTTAACATGACACGCTTCTTGTTCCTATCTTCTTAGAAAGGATTTTTCTCCACCAGAGAGAGGGAGTTAGAAACCAGTGTCTTGGAGCTAGGGGAGTCTGCATCTTCTCTGCCTCCTCACAGGACAATAGGGTACTGAATTGGCCCGTACAGGTAATAGAGCTACTACTTCCCCACTACCCTGTCACTGGAGATACCTGGAGTAGTGGTCAGAGTTCTTCGGTGGGAAGCAGAGCTCAATGTGTGTCCCAGTTCTGTCACTTGTTGAGAAAATCACTTCTGAGAACCTGTTGGGTTCTGAAGTCCCCATCACTGCAATGTCCTTTCATCCAATGCAAAGAGATCATTAAGATTGATTAGGATTAGAGTTTGAAAGTATGATGAAATTTGAAGCCTTCATTCAGGCTTTTGGAACTCTAGTTGCTTGCAGGGAAAACACAGTGAGAGTCCAGCTGGAGTTGGGCATGGACAGTGCTCTGTGGGTGGAGATACGCCCTTGCTCCTCTGAAGGGGGGCGTGTGGCTCATGCTGTGTCTACATGAAGACTGCTTTTGCAGTGTGTTCTATAAAATGGACAGAACTGAAGCTTTTGCCTGTGACTCTGTTCTTTCTGTCATATTCTTTATGACCATTTCTTGGAATTCCTAGTGTTAGTAAATGTTTGGAGTAAGTAGTAGTTATTTGCTAAATTTTCATATTAAAAATTAAGAGATTATTATAATCATCTAAAATACAAGGAATTAGAACCTAAACCAGGAAAACAGATTGAAGAGAGTGCACAGTGATATTACAGAGGTTAAATATATGCAATTTAGTGTTTGATTGTGGCAAAAACATAAAAAGTAGCCCAAGGTTTTGACCATTCATTATGTAAGGATGTTATCTTCTGATAAGTGTAGGTTGTTGAGAGAGATTAACTCCAGTTGCAAAAAGTAACCAAGCTACATGTATGGTGACTCCCTGGGAGAGAGGAGCAAAACAAAGATTTCTAGAAGTTTGTTCAGATAGCATTAGAGAGAAATAGAGAAAGAATTTATCCAGACACTCAAATAAAACTCTGAGAAGGTTTGAGGGGGGATGCAGCCTGACGTTAACTTAGAGATTTGGAAATTTTTCCTTTGGGGTCAGAAAGTAAGGTGATTTGACTTTTCAGAATTAATCAGTTGTCCACACATTATTTGCCTGCTTTCTACTTGCTCAGATCTAAAACTGTCTTGCTGAGAGCGCTCCCAGCTCTGACAATGATCTGGGAAGAGTCCTTCACATAGCCCCACCCATAAGCATGTTATTCCTTCAGCACTATCACTGCCTCTTATAGCTCATTAGGAACATTATAAAGCATGACAAAGCACATTTTCTCACTTGGTTACTTAATTAACATGTCGTTGATATCATTTTCTTTTCCTTAATTTTGCGAAAGGTATTCAGGAGTCATGACTAAGGAGGAATAAGAAAAAGTAATGACAGTTCTCTTTTTCCCTTCTATTTTAAAAAAAGTACTTTGCTATTGTTCAATTACTCAGAATGTCCAGCTCTTTGCTATCCCATGGAAAAGAGATCCCATGGCAAAACATCAGGCTTCCCTGTCCGTCACTATCTCCTAGAGTTTGCTGAAACATGTCCATGGAGTTGGTGATGCCATCCAGCCATCTCATTCTCTGTCACCCCCTTCTCTTCCTGCCCTCAACTTTTCCCAGCATCAGGGTCTTTTCCAATGTGTTGGCCCTTTGCATTAAGTGGCCAAAATATTGGAGCTTCAGCTTCAACACCAGTCTTTCCAATGAATACTCAGGGTTGATTTCCTTTAGAATTGACTGGTTTGATCTCTTTGGTATCCAAGGGACTCTCAAGAGCCTTCTCCAACGCCACTGTTCAAAAGCATCAATTCTTCAGCGCTCAGCTTTCTTTATAGTCCAACTCTCACATCCATACATGACTACTGGAAAAAACATAGCTTTGATTATACAGACCTTTGTCAGCGAAGTGGTATCTCTGCTATTTAATACACTATCTAGCTGTGCCATAGCTTTACTTCCAAGTAGCAAGTGTCTTTTAATTTCATAGTTGCAGTCACCATCCAGTGATTTTGGAGCCCCCAAAAATAAAGTCTGTCACTGTTTCCACTATTTCCCCATCTATTTGCCATGAAGTGGTGGGACTGGTTGCCATGTTCTTAGTTTTTTGAATATTGAGTAGGGATAAAGAATCATATGCTGTTATTTATTCCACTGGTGGTGGTGGTGGTTTTAAATATTTTGCCATTCTTCAAAAACTGGTTTCATGAGGAATTTTAAATTCAATCCTTACCTCAACATTATGGGCTAGAAAGTGCAGGCGGTGAGAGTATCCCTGTTTTTAGAGTAAGAAACAGAGCTTAAGAAAGTAAGAAATTTTCTTTCAGAAAATGGTGAGGTGAGTCTTAATCCCTTGTTTGACCAAAAAGTCTATTTCCCCACTTAGTCACACCACATTTCTCATTGTCTTTTTTTCAATGCTAAAATAAACTGACTCCACAAACCAAAATCACTCAGCATTTATGACAGTTCACTCTGCCTTTCAGTAAGTGTAGGTGCACATTCTTAGGGAATGAAAGCATTATAATAGCTATCTCAGTCTGTACTGAAGTCAGCCATGATGGAGATCATAATTTCAGGAATATTCTGTTGGAGCACAGACTGAATAACCTCAATACGTCAGCTCGCTGCAGCTACTTAACACCTCAGAGAAAATTAAAAGAAATTAATATTCCCATGAAATGAATTCAGGGTCTTTTTATGGTCTTTATTCTTATATATTAAACATATATTGATATAAATGTACCTTTTGGTAATAATTTCTTCTGTGCCAGCTTTAACACATAGTGGACAAGCTCACTTTGGAAAATGTAAACCTCCTTTAGTTTATATCCTTCCCTCCTTTAAAGGGAAGTATGCAGCAGTTCAGCTTTCTTAATGGGACACTCTTGCATTTTGGTCAAGATGGTACTCTGCCTCATGGGACTGTCTTGCAAGAGCAGAATGTATAGCATCCTTCGTCCTCAGCAGTAACAACTCTTAATCATTAGGGCAAAAAAACTGCTTTGATACCTTACTCAATGCACTCTTGACTGTGTGTGTGTGTGTGTGTGTGTGTGTGTGTAAGAACTTTGATCCTCGTGGCACTGGGGTATTGGACTCATATTTACCTTATAGTTTAAATAATGCATATCACACATATTGCA